TTTAAGTCTTGGCTCTGAATTCTTACCTAGCCAGAACTCAAGTACAGTGGTGCCTTGGTTTTCGAACGACTCCGTTGACGCACATTTTGGGTTACGAACGCCACAAACCCGGGAGGAAATGCTTCGGTTTTCGAAGCCTCCTTGGAAGTCGAACCTGCCCCACGGCCTCCGCCAAAGGCAAGGTCCTGAGGCCCGGCTGTCGGCTGTGGCTCCCTCGGTTTTCCAAGGTTTCAGAGCCGGACCAGTCTTCCGGAACGGAGTCCATTCGAAAACCGAGGCACCACTGTACCGAGGTTGCTGAACCCAGGTCTGGTCTCACCCCACCGGTCTAACACCTGGTGCTTTCCTGCCACTGCCAACAGATACACAGCCAATTGTGAGTCTAGCTGGTTCTTGATTATATGAATTTACAAAGGGGAGAGTCTGCATAGACAACCTCAAATAAGCGCTAAATAGGAAAATCAAACTGCCCTAGCCGGTTTGGGTCTGGAGTTCGATTCCTGCCAAGGGCATGCACCTCGGTTGCAAGGCATGTACCCCGGATGCAAAGCATGTGCCTCGGCTGAAGGCTCGAACCCCGGCCCTGGCTGGGGCATGTGCGGGAGGCAGCCAATCGATGTGTGTCTCTCACATCCGTATTTTTTTCTCTCTCTCTCTTCCCCTCGCACGCTCTCTGAAAAGCAATGGAAAAAATATCCTCGGGGGAAGATAAAAAATAAGAAAAAGGAAAAGAAAAAGAAAAATCAAATTTCATTTAGCTTAAGTGGGGTGTCTATGCCTCGCCATTCTTCCCTGAGTAGAAGGGATGGCTTGTAGGCCAGCAGCTAGGCGGTGGTGTTGGGGGAGGCGGGGACACAACATTCCCTTGGACAGTAGGTGTTTCATTAGGCTCATAAAATTATTAAACAGCCATTGATTAAAACTAACTTTTATTAAATATTCACTAAAACTAACTTTTGTATGAAGTGGAGCTGCATTTATCAAACCGGGGCCCTCAGATGCCTGTTTTAGTTTCACCTGAGGAAATGGAGATTCCTGAGGTCACTCTAGCTATACTAAACAGAGTTACTGGGGCAGGCTGACATTTCGTATTTTTAAGAGTTTTTCTATGTAAAACTCAACAATTAAGAAAAGGAACAATCCACAAAAAACAAAAACAAAAACAAAAACAAAAAAAGCAGGCAAAAGATATGAGCACCACTTTACCGGGAATTACTGGGGCGGGTTGACATTTTGTGTTTTTAAGAGTTTTTCTATGGTAAAACTGAACAATAAGAAAAAAAATCCAATTAAAAAAAACAAAAGTGAAAACAGACAAAAGATTTGAGCACCACTTCATCAAAGAAGACAGATTGGGGCTGATTGAGCACACAAAAAGATGCCTACCATCACTGGACATTAGAGAAATGCAAATTAAAGCTACCCACCAATTGAAATGGCTAAAAACTTTAAAAAACTGATGCCACCTGATGAGCACTGATGAGAAAGTGGAGGAACTGGAATGCTCACACGCTGCTGGTGGGACTGTAAAATGGCTCAGACAGTTCGGAACACCATGCGGAAACTTAGAAAGTTACCTGTATGTTTATCAGACGGCTGAGCAACCCCACGCCTAGGTATCTGCTCAAGTGAAATGCAAACCTATGTTCACACAAATACCTGTACACAATGTTTATAGCAGATTTATCCATAATCATCAAAAACTGGGAAAAACCCAAATGTCCCTCTCAACTAAATGGATGAACAAAGCATGGTGCAGCTATGTAATAGAATACTACTCAACAATAAAAATGAACCAATATGCGTGCAACAACTTGGATGCATCTCAAATACACTATGCAGAGTGAAAGAAACCAGATGTAAAAGGTCTGATGACACATACTTCTGAGTCCATTCATACGACATTCTGGAAAAGGCGAGGCTATAGGATGAAGATTAGTGGTTCCATGAGACTAAGGGTAGAGAGAGGCTCTGACTAAAAAGCAGTAGCGCCAGGGAATTTGGCAGTGGGGGAGGCCAAGGGGGACTGGGAAATAGAATTGCTATGTATTTTGATTGTGGGTGTGGGAAATATTAACTGAAGTTTTCAAAACTTCTAGAACTATATACCCAAAGCAGTAAATTGTATTGTATGTAAATTTAAAAATAAAATTAAAAAAACACTTCCCTAACTGATTCTTTTTCACAACATTTGAGAATGATCACTATGGATGTATTTATAGTTAGCCTTATCCTGCCATCAGCCATAATTCCCTCCTGGATTCTTAACGCAGGCTGAGAAAGATGTACATGTTGTCTGAGGCTATAAGCAGATGATAGTAGAAGTAAACTCCTTACCCCCAAGGTTGACACTTAAATGACCAATTTTTCACCCACGGCAGTTTTGCTCAGTGGTTAAAAGTGTCCGCCCGGGAAACAAAGGGTCCTGGGTTTGACTCCAGCCAAGGGCACATACCTCGGTTGCAGGCTCGATCCCTGGCCCTGGTTGGGGTGTGTGCAGAGGCAACCAGGTGATGTGTTTCTCTCACATCGATGTTTCTCTCTCTCTTTCTCTCTCTCTCTTCCACTTTCTCTGAAAAGCAATGGGAAAAAAAAATCCTCTGGTGAGGATAAAAAAATAAAAAATAAATGACCAATTTTTCCTTGATAAAAAATCTTCACAAGGCAGGAAAAGCACAGAATAACCATTGGCCACAAGATATCAATAAGGCCACATACCCACGCATATAGGGTGTCCCAAAAAAATACCCCCACACTTTGAATAATTATAAAGGCAGTATTTATTAAAATACATTTCATTTTCAAAATTGAGCTATCAGCTGTTAAAGTGTGTATACATTTTTTGGGACACCCTGTAGTGGTCAGTCCCCCCATTTGCCTTAAAAGGTCTGTGGGGACAGAAAGTGCAAGGACGAGAGAACAGTGTGAGAAAAGTTGAAATAAATAGGAAATGAGAACCTTTCATTAATAACAGAAACCACAACACGAGCAGCTACACTGGCTGAGTGCTGACCATGTGCCAGGCACAGTAGTATGAGCACTACATCCATCTAGTCCTCTCAACAATTCTATGAAGCAGGTATTATTTATTTTATAGCTCACTGATGAGAACCTTGAGACCCACTGGGTTAACTGATTTGCCCAAGTTCACACAGTTAATAAGAGACAGAGAATGCCGTCAACTCTGATGACAGAACCCACAATTTCCATTTCACCAAGTTACTGCCAGGAAAAGGTGGCTTATCCATAGGTAATACATTACATCCAGGGTATTTAACATACCTCAGATAACAATGCTCTGGCTATTAAAGAGCACACACGTACTTGATAGAGGAGACATACTCTTGAAAATCTAATTTTAACATTTTTTTTAAAAGTTTACTCATTCTCAGGAAGCTCTCTTGTAGAAAGAACGGTGAAATACATAGGAAAGAATTCCTTTGTGATATAAATGATCACCCCATAATCCTTATGCTGCAAAAGTTTGGATTTTTATATAATGGATTTTCTTAAAAAAGGGCATACTTTCAACTCGTAATTTGTTTTTAAAAATCTATGTCTATTAGCTAGCCCTGTAGGTAAGTAAACAAGATTAAGAAGTTTTATGGAATAAGTAAATAAAGGACTTTAGTTAGGCACCTTTTATTTTATACCTCTTCTAAAGAAACAAAAGGAAGCAAGGGACAAATGAAAATCTTTAACATTCTACCACGATAACTTGCAGGATCTCAGTAGCAGTATGTTGGGAAGTGGCTCCAGGCAGCCACATGACCACTGTACCCACTCCCCAGCTTATCCATTCAGCAGCTAAGCTCCATATTAAACAGAGAAGGGGTTACCCAAAGATGCTAAAACAACAGGAAGTCAAAGAAACATCGATAGCATTCAATGCCTAAGATACCTCACTAGTAAAATAAAACACTTAAATATCTGGGCTTTTGCTGGAGTAAGCATGGTATAAAAACCATGTTCATTTCTAATATTTCTTCAACTCTTAAAGAATAGAGAACAAAATTGTCTCTCTGCAAACTGATCAACTTCGTACGCTATTTGCCAACTCCCACTTAAAAATGAACAGGATGAAACAATCTGTCCAAAAAATAGAGTCGTTACACAGAAAAACACAATGATGCAAAATAACACATTTTAGAATTGGCTCATCTAAAGAGAAAGCTCAAATCAAAATAACTCATGCTACAAACAATACTATACAATGCCAAACAATCTATCTTTAAGAGAATAAAATTTAGAACTCAAATGTGTGTGGCTCCAAAACATGATCAGAAACATATTAAACTAATACCCAAATCCAACCAAAAAAATGAAGAGCTAAGGGGCTCAAAGGGAGTTCTAAAGCACTGAAAACTCAGTGGCCAAGAAGTAATCTGAAAAATACTCGCTTAAAGTGTGCACAGGAACTTTATGGTTGTGGTGTGGGACAGAAGCCGTGCCCAAGAATAATTAGATGACAGGACTGTAATTTGCAGAAACTCTACTTCTCACTTAACTACCAGAACTTTGACGTCACAAGCATCAAACATTAAATAAATTTCTGGCAAACTTGGCAAATGTTCACTAGGCCTTCAAGTCCCAAACTCAAATCCTTATTTGGCTCGCAAACAGAACGCTTTTATGGTGCCTGTAAGAATAAACTCAAATGAGGTTAACTTAAGAAAAAAAAAATCTAAAATTAAAATGCAATGTTAATTAATGTAATGCTAAGTGGCTGTAAGTTAAAGTGTAATGAGACTCAATGAATTTGGTAATTTTATAAAATCTTCCCAAGGCTTTTGGACACCAGGCTGAAAATGCCGAAATTTCCCTTCTCTCTTTACGCTAAATCCTCTAACTCCTATCAAATAAATTAGTACTTGAAGATAGTTTCAAGATACCTGTACCTAAAATTCAAGCCTGCTGTTTTAGAAACACAATTTCAGGTGCAGGTATGTCAACCGTATCAGCAGGGGGAGAAAACACAACTTTTGCATTTTGCAACATACTTTTTCTGGAAGCTGGGATTCCACTTCTTTCTTAAGTCTCCTCAGTAAAAATGGTCTCAACACCTTATGTAGACGCCGGATGATCAATATAGTTTCTTCTTCATTCAAGTCCACCTATAATAGAACCACAGATGACTGATTTTTTTTTTTTTAAAAAGAATGTTTCATTTAATAATGATTTATATTTATTATTTGTTTCAATATATGTTTGAAATTTTATGTGTATTAAGGCCAGGTTTATACCTGGTCATGACACCTCAGCATTCTCTTCCACCTGCCTACCCCATGGTAATCAAATAGCCTAAAAGTAGGTGTTTGTCTTAAGGATGGGTTTGTGGAAAAGGGCTCATATGCAATCAGTTCATATCAGTACTGTTAACAGCTCACAATTTTATGGGATATAACTGTCAATAAAGACTGAAGCCCTGGCAGGTGTGGCTCGGCTGGTTGGAGTGTCATACACCAAAAGGTTGCAAGTTCAATTCCTGGTCAGGGCACATACCCAAGTTGTGGGTTTGATCCCCAGGTGGGGCATGTACAGGAGGCAACCAATCATTGTTTCTTTCTCACATCAATGTTTCTCTTTCTCTGTCTCCCTCTCTCTCTCTTCCCTTCCCTCGCTCTCTAAAGTCAATAAAAACATCCTTGTGTGAGGATTAAAAAAACAACAACCCACATTTAGGGAAAAAAAAATACCCATATTTAGGGGGGGAAAAAAAAAGACTGACTGATGACTGAGATAGAACATGAGTAGCTCTGGCCAGGTAGCTCAGCAGGTTAGAGCGTTGTCCCAATATGCCAAGATTGTGGATTTGATCCCAGGTCAGGATACATACAAGAATCAAGCAATGAATGAATGCATCAATAAGTGGAACAACAAATCAGTGTTTCTCTCTCTCTTTCAAACCAATAAAAGTAAAGATTATTTAAAAAACAAAAAAAGAACACGAGTAAAGCCGTAACAGTTAATGTGTTCTTAAGCGGAAGCATTAAGTTAGGTTCTTAACTTTGTCTCAGATGCAAAAACATACCAACAGAAATGAAAACAAGAGTAGATCCAATTTATGTTGGTTGGTTTCTAAGCCAGACGACCTTGCTCTTCCTTTTTTCTGCCCTGATCATGTTCGAGTTACAGTCATATTTATAAAATCATCTGCTTTCTTTCACCTTCCTCTATTAACCTCTAGGGGGCAGAGTTGATTGACTCTATACAAATGGGAGAACCAATTATTTATTGACAAAAAGGAAATGCACCCCAAAATTAAAGGGCTCAAGAGTTCTAACATGAATTTCCTTCAAGCATTCTTTGTGGCTTTTCATCCCTATAGTTAAGAAATCACTAATCAAAAGGACATGTACCCATTTCTTTTCTTATAATGGCTCAGGTCTTCCTTCTATCAATGAGCTCTTAGTTAAGACAGACAGTGGAAGAAATGGTAGTAAGAAATTTGAAAATGGCTACTCCAGGATTTGAGGAGTATTTATGTAGACACACAACTGAGGCTTACCCAAAAATCTGGAAAAATGTGTATACAAAAAAGTAGTGTAAACTAATTCAGTTTTACACACACACACTCTTTATGTGGAAAAAGTTTAAAGGGAAGCCCAAGTTTATAACAAGGAAATACTTGTTTTAAGGTTTAGGTTGGGTTGAGTTGATCAGGTTAAACTGAGTCAATAACTTGTCGCCACACTTATCCTGTGTCCCACAGCAGTTAAGCATCCCATCATCAGGAATGTTCTCTGGTGGCCTGGTTAACACACTGGCAAAAGACACAGGAGTTGAGACACCCCACACTTGACTAGATCCGCCTTCTTCAGAAGGGAAACTCCCGGGAATGGGGAACATGTGCACTCACTGATTAGCTTCATAATGTAGATGACATTGTAAAACACCCAATGGGTTTTCTGCCGCTCTAATGCTCTCAGCTCTAGGTCCTTTCATTTCATTTCATGGTCAAGCAGTG